CCGGCACAATGATGAAGAAAGGTAAAACTGTGTGCTTGAGATTTGTGTTGAGGAGAGAAATAAAATGAATCATAAAATTCTTTCCTTAAAAGAAAAGTGAAACTTTATTTTGGGACATACCAAAAAGACAATGTGGAACCTTTTTTTACATGATAGAGGGAGTATAAAAGTAGCAGTCCAACTGAACCATATATGAAGTACCCATAATAGCAGCAAGAACAAAACGGTTATCTAGGCTCCAAACAATCATATTGACCCCACGAGGAGTTGGGAGTAATCTTTGCCGTGGTCCTCCTCGAGGAGGTTGTGGTGGCATTGGAGGTGGAGGAACTTTGAGATGATAAGCCTTCGCCCAACGTCCTGCCTTAACCTAATGAGTAGAATTATTGTTAGTAATGATGTTGGAAAGTTGGGTTTATGGGGCATGAGGGATTTGATCAGGTCATGTTTAGCAGAGGATGAAACTGGATGCTGATAAAAAATGCTCGCCGATGAATTTTTTTTGCTGCTCTTGTAGATGCACATTTATTGCTTAATTATCTTTATGCTCAACATGCCCGCATAGGTGGGAGGATACATTCTTAGTTTTCCTCATGAGCCAAACACATGGGATCCTTTGGATGATAAAGATACATGCTTATTATTGTATACCCCAGATTATACTCCCACCTTCCCAAAAAGAACATCACACTACGCAAAACGATATGAAATTTCAAGTTTTTTCAATTCATTTTATTTAAAGATTGGTATAGATATAAAAAATAAAAATTACATAGTTTAAAAATACGTAAAGGCTCACACAACAAGAGGTGACAAAAATATTTTATTTTATCAAATAATCAATGAAAACGCACAAATAAACAAAAATTCCTGTGTTTTTCTTTTCTCTAGGAAATGCGAAGTGCTACGAATAACTTACATATGCCTTGCGCGATTTAGGTATCCAGATGATTGCACTGCCATCTCGAGAACAAGTAACTATATTGTCGTGACTAAACCTGGCATTCAAATTTAATGAAGCATAATAGGCTAATTATTAGTCTAGAATAGTTTTGCACTGTAAATAACTACAACCACATTATGAAAATCCATGAATGTACCCACAGACCAAGAATTTCTAAATTTTGGAATTTTGTCCTCCACAAGAGAATCATGAGTTGAACATCGAGGAGAACTCACTGCACAGCCGCTGCATAATGAGAGGATGGGTGAGAATGGTGAGATGATGAGCTACTACTCAACGGGAAGAAAGTGGAGCTACCAACCTGAACTGCACATAATTTACATCCTGCTCGTGTCCAGATAATATGTCTATCTCATGGCTTGGTTGATCTGGCTCATCCACATTGGGCTTAGGGGCACCCCAAACCTGTGCAGAGAGCATTTTCAGGATTTTTTTTCAAAACGATACTATTCTTTTTACGTGATGATGATGATAGGTTGATGGGTTTGGCATGAAAACATTCCAAGAGAAAGATGAAAGTGTTGTAAAAATTAATGTAAAAAAAGTGTTATAACATTAATCCTCCTCATACACACACACTAAGGATCTCAGCCTTTAGATCTGTTGACTGAAGTCAACTGATCTAGTGACTGAGAACACAAACACTGAGATAATAAACAATACCCTTGCATGTCTATCAGAGCTCCCAGTCACAAAAACAGTTCCATTAGCATTGTATGCACAGCATAGTATTTGATGGGGCTCCAATGCATTAGCTGAGAGAGAACTGTTAGATGAGCGGAAAACGCCGTTCATTCCTGCAATAAAATAGGATTTAATTTAAGCTAGCCTGGTGCGGCTGAAAGTTTTGATCCAACAATTAACCCAACTCTTCTGACCAGAGGTAACATCTGTTTGCCTTGGCAGGTAAACACGGGGAGTACACTGTGAGTACCTTGCATCCCAAACCCGACATGTTCCATCATCCGATGACCTAGACATGAGATGAATCACGACAATCAAGAAGTGCTGTTAGTGTTGTCAAAAAATTCATACTACCCACTAATTTAGTTGTTTCTTATGTGATAGATTAGGACTAGATCTTGTGAGATTGAAGCTCACTTTTAGCTCTAAAATAAAATATTTAAAAAAAAGTGCATAATATAGGATGGGTATAAAGCAAGATGCTGCAAAGTACATCAAAAGATTCAAATAATCAAAGGATAAATATGATAGAAGAATAGCTCACGACAAAAGCTGATAGACAGAGCTCGGCCGTGGACTAAAGGCTATGGCAGTAACTGCTGCTGTGTGTCCACGCAAAACTGAAATAGGCATCCCATCTGGCAAGCGCCACTGGAGTGAAGAAGATTAAACAATTTACCATTCAAATAAAGAGAGGTGAGCAATTCTATTTCTTTTTAGGATAAAGACGCAACCTCAGGTGATGAACAATTAGGCATATCCCTAATTTTGATGATTAAACATTAGGGATGACTTTAACCCTCAAAAGATTGGTAGTGTTGTGTTCACTCTTAGTACTGAGGTGCCAATTTTGATAGATAACCCCCCCCCCC